AATGTTTTAGAGGTGAAAAGAGTGTCAGACAGGGTGATCAGTTTGAAGTTGGAAATTGAAGGGGTAATGTTGAATGTAGTCAGTGGTTATGCTCCACAAGTAGGGTGTGAGTTAGATGAGGTGATGGAGAGTATTCCCAGAGGGGAGAAAGTGGTGATTGCGGCAGACTTCAACGGGCACGTTGGTGAGGGGAACAAAGGTGATGAGGAGGTGATGGGCAGGTTTGGTGTTGAGGAAAGGAACCTAGAAGGACAGATGGTGGTGGACTTTGCTAGGACGATGGAGATGGCTGTCGTTAACACCTATTTCCAGAAGAAGGAGGAACCCTGGAAAGGTGGAGGTCTGCTCTGGGAAGAAGAGGAATGAAAGTCAGTCGTAGTAAGACAGAATACATGTGTATGAACGAGAGCGAGGGAAGTGAAACAGTGAGGTTACAGGGGGCTGAGGTCAAGAAGGTGCAGGAGTTTAAGTATTTGGGGTCAACAGTCCAGTGTGATGGGGAGTGTAGGAAAGAGGTGAAGAGGCGAGTGGGTGGAGAAAGGTGTCAGGAGTGTTGTGTGACAGAAGAGTGTCAGCAAGAATCAAAGGAAAGGTGTACAAGACAGTAGTGAGACCAGCTATGCTGTATGGGTTAGAGACTGTAGCAGTGAGGAAAAGAGGCACAGATGGAGGTAGCAGAGATGAAGATGTTGAGGTTCTCTTTAGGAGAGACCCGGATGGCCAGGATTAGGAATGAGCACATCAGAGGGACAGCTCAGGTCGGCTGTTTTGGGGACAAGGTCAGAGAGGCCAGATTGAGATGGTTTGGACATGTGCAGAGGAGGGATAGTGGTTATATTGGTAGAAGGATGTTGGAGATGGAGCTGCCAGGCAAGAGGTCAAGAGGAAGGCCAAAGAGGAGATATATGGATGTGCTAAAAGAGGACATGAAGTTAATTGGGGTGAGAGTAGAGGATGCTGAGGATAGAGTGAGTTGGAAACAGATGATTAGCTGTGGCGACCCCTAACGGGAACAGCTGAAAGGAGAAGAAGAAGAAGAAGAAGAAGTGCAGCACATTGTTGTGGAAAAAATATCTTTTAAGGGGTGCTATTATAAAAATTGCCACCACACACATCTCCTTCGCATAGAGTTCATCAGGTTGTTGATTCTGGTCTGTGGAATGTTGGTCCATTCCTCTTCAATGGCTGTGTGAAGTTGCTGGATATTGGCAGGAACTGGAACACGCTATCATATACGCCAATCCAGAGCATCCCAAACATGCTGAGTGGGTGACATGTCCGGTGAGTATGCTGACCATGCAAGAACTGGGATGTTTTCAGCTTCCAGGAATTGCGTACAGATCCTTGCAACATCGAGCCGTGCATTATCATGCTCAACATGAGGTGATGGTCGTGGATGAATGGCACAACAATGGGCCTCAGGATCTCGTCACGGTATCTCTGTGCATTCAAAATGCCATCAATAAAATGAACCTGAGACGGTTTCTGACAGTTTGTGCAGAAATTCTTTGGTTATGCAAATCGATTGTTGCAGCAGCTGTCCGGGTGGCTGGTCTCAGATGATCTTGGAGGTGAAGATGCTGGATGTGGAGGTCCTAGGCTGGTGTGGTTACACGTGGTCTGCGGTTGTGAGGCCGGTTGGATGTACTGCCAAATTCTCTGAAACACCTTTGGAGAT